AAAAAAAAAAAAAAAAAAAAACAAACCAGAAGAAAGATTGCAAGTTTGCAATGTGTCACACTGTTTTAGGATCAAGACTAGGAATTACCCATTTTGACAAGGGCTTTCTGAGAGTGGGGTGAGGGAAAAGCTTTTCTGTAGTCCAACTCAATATACCTATGAAGTAGACCCCGAATTCCTCAACTCCCACCGGTGCTTGTCCCTGGAGCAGGGTTAGTGGATCATGGGATCATGGTAAGATCATAACCATCCTATCCATATTCAGCACTCATGATAAATACCAAGCAAGGCATTACTTACTGATCAATTTTAAAGATTGTAAAAGACACACAAGCTAAGAATGTTTACTATTTGCTACCTAGAAATACTTTTCATTCTTCATTCCTCTTTCATATATTCCAACCCATTAGAAGTCTTCAGAGATATTTTGATTTAAAGTGTCATACATTAGGATTTCTTAAAGTAAATATGAGGGAAAAAAACTTTACACATCAAAAACAGACTTCCATGTGATTGGTTTGGAATTATTCATTTGGGAGAAAAGCATAATCTTTATATTTCACTAATTTTACTCAGGTACCTTTTTATTTCTCATGTTTTTGAGAATACTTGAAGGTTCATTTCAAGTCGTTATGCCAACAAATATAGGCACTACTATTTGCAGATGGAAAAACAGGCTCGAGTGTTCTATTCAGGGTCAGAGAATTAATGACAGTAGAGCAGTGAGAAAATCCTTGGCTGTTTCCCAACATGGTAGGACAGGGTCTTGAAGCTCCTAAAATCAGCAGGGGTATTTATTACAAGCAATCACTCCCTTGAAAAACAGGGAAAGATCACACTTGAGGTGTAGTTCACTCCTGATGATGTTCACTGGACTCTATTCCCATACTATAAGCTGCATTGAAGACTCAAATCACACTCCTTCCTCAATAGTGACACAGGGGAAGACTGCCTTTGAGGGAGCTGAGCTTTCTTTGCTTGACCCAGTCCTTCACAGCTGTACAAGAAGGAAACTTCCATGGTCAGCATGCCACCATTCATGAACTCGGGACATAGGGAGATCAAGTGTTAGCATAACATCCACTGAAGTAAGATACCTGACTTCTTAGAGAAGCCAACAGTTCACTTGAAGCAGGCCCCTCAGACCCAGAAGAAAGTTGAAAATAGGATTACTCGACCAATAGGGATTTGTTGAGGGGCTGGAAGGCCCGCTGGCTGACTTTCCTCCTGTTTAGTAGTGAAGTATGAGAATTCTTGTTCTGGGGGTGTGGCAGAGCAGAGCATCCAGAGTGTAAGAAGTCACCTGGCCATGTATATGCAGTTTCCCATAGATCTCCTCAAATCTGGCCACAAGTGTGGGCACATCTTTCACTTTGGCCTGCACTTCATTGAAGAATTCGTGTCTTTTCACAAATTTGGACACATTTCCTTCTGCAGCACCTTGTAGTATCTCTTTTAGGGTTTCCAGCATATTTGACGAAATATGGATCATGATATTTAAATTAGTGCAGGGGATGCTCACTGGATTCATGATTTGAGAAAATATGGATGCAGCCTTGGCTATTTCATTCTGATTCAGAGCTAACACCACAGCAAAACAGATGCTCTCCTGGAAATATCTCCTTTGACTAGGACATCTTCTCTTAATGTATAGTACAGATTTTTAAAAGATTCTGAGCTATTCAGCTTGTAGCAAATTGCAAAAGCAAGGACATACGTACCTTGGGTAAATTTTACATCTGGTTTTTCATCTCTATCAACACTTCCAATGCACATTCATATTTGCCCTTGATAAATAACATATCCATCAAAATATTGAGTGATGTGGAGTCTGAGAAGAAACATTGTAAATGCTGGTCTTTGATGAGCTCCACTGCAGATTCCTCAAGATCCATCTCATAACAGCCTCATGAAAACTGGTCCAAATTTATATTCCCCCAAAGTCATATTTCTGTTTTCTGCATGGTACCTGTGAATGACACTTTTACCTAGCTCCACATCCTCCTGGGACTGACACAAATGAAGCAAGGTTGTCATCCTTCAAGATGAGTTTCTTCTGGGTCAGTTTCTCTTCTAAGTTTCTAAAATAGTTTTCTTTGGTGCCAAGAAGATTACATGCAGCAGCCACCTTATGTTGAAATTCCTTTAATTTCATAACATTATCTGCAAGTAGGTATCTTTTAGCTCCGAGACGGCAGAGACAGCAAGTGGAGCATGATCCCGCTACCCAGGGAAATAGGAAGATTCGAGGAGCTAGCAGCCCAGCTTTCCTTATTTCAGTAATTTTAAATCAAGAGCTTGATGATTCAATCTTACTATTTAATGAAGTTTCTAACTTGAAAATTTGAAAATATTTAATGCTGCAAGGCCTCAATTAGGAATATTGGGGTGATTAGAGATCAGTGCCTTGACAGACAGTTACTCTTAGGAAGTAAAGCATACTGCTACTCAGCGGGAGAGAATCTGCCTTGTTCCAGAGACATGCCTCTCAGAAGGCTACAAGGTTTTCCTTGCCATTTATGCAGCAAGTTCAAAGTTTGGTTTGTCTCTTTTTTTCCTCTCCCATTGTAGTCACATTCTCCCTTCCCTACTTTTTTCTCCTGCCCTCTCAGAGGGCTGTCATGAAAATCAGTACAGACTGTGTTCATTAACAGATTTACTATACTTTTGAGAAAGCACTGGAATGTTTTGGGAGATTATTTTTATATGAAGGAATAGCTTGAATTCAGGCATCCAGTAAGAATAGTACAGATACTTTAGCACAGTGATTGTATCCATACTACATCTCTGCACATAGTATTCTGAGAGGAGATTTAGGACTTTTGTTTTCTTGATGGTAGGTAAATATACAGGACATTAATGTGTTTGCAGTACTCAGCAAAAAGTAGAGAGCATAAGGCAGGGGCAGGTGCAGGAGGTGCTGCCATCTGAGATAGAAGGGTGTGGAGCTATTTCTGTCTCCCAGGACAGTTAGAAAGGTTTCCAAGGGGTCCTCGGTCTTGCAGAGGAAGCAAGGCCTCTTAGCATCCTGTCCTCAGTGTGCCAGTGTAATCAGTACCCTGAGTATGTGTCCATATAAGATACTCATCTGTGACTGTTGCGGGGTTGGTCACTTTTGCTATATAAGAGGATGTTTAGGCTGTACATACTGGGGTAGATTATCGCCTGCCCCTATTCATAGGAATATACTGCATAATTGTGCAGAACTTCCATCTCCTTTACTGGCTTATAGGCAGAGAAAACTGTATGTCACTGACTTGCAGTTTTCTTATACACCAAAACACAAATTTTAAATCTCAAGCAATTTACTATTATTCCTCTTTCCACAGCTTCAAGGGCATATTTTAGAGGCACATAAAAAATCTGCATTCTCTGTTTGGGAGTGGAATTTTATCTCTCCCTCTCCCCTTTCTCCTTCCCCTCCCTCCCTCTTCCTCTCCTCCCTTCCTTTCCCTCTCTCCCTCCCTCCCTCCCTCTCTCCCTGTCTCTCCTCTCTCTGTGTGATGCACTGAAATGTGCACCTTCTTATGAGGATAGCACCTAAGAAATGTGCTAGCTATTCAGAAGTTATACATCAAAATGACACACAGTAAGGAGAATGGAATAATACATGTTGCATATTTGTTACCAATTGTAATTCGTCTGTATTATGAAGGATGTAATGGTCTATCAGCTGTCACTATTGTTTTCTTGTAACATGGTATGGAATAAAGTATAGCAGACTCTCCAAAAAAACATTCACATTGTGAACTTTCATAGATACAAGTGGACCTCACATTTGGTTTTGTAATGCTTTTCATTGTATATTTGTGTCAAAGTTCAACACTTACTTTGTTGGACTTACAAGTCCAGTCAGGGATGGGGATTTACTGTACTTGGAATCCTTCTACCTCAGGCTTCCAAGTGGCTGGGACACCCAGCTACTGATAAACTTTTGTAGATAAAGAACTTCAGTTTTTCTTTTTATTTTTTAATTGGGCATTTTCTAACATAAAAATATACCTTTACTTTGCTTTTAAGAAAGAAGAATAGCCAATTGTGGCGCATGCCTTTAATCCCAGCACTTGGGAGGCTGAGGCAGAAGGATCGCTTCAAGTTTGAGACTAGCCTGGGCTACACAGTGAGTTCCAGGGCAGTCTGAATTACATAGCGAGACCCTATCTCAAAAAACAACAAAACAAAAAACCCAAAAACAACCGCAACAAAAAAAAATCAAAAGAATATGTTTGTAGCATATAAGATAGCTATTATCTAGATTCATAGTTTAAATGCTTTCCTTTCCTTCTGGATGATCACAGCACCTACTTTATGAAACTTCAGAAATGCCAGACAGGGCATGATGGATGGCATGCGTCTGTAATTGGAGGGGGGGCTCCAGAAGGCTGAGGCAGGAGAATCACAAGTTGGAACCCAGCCTGGGTAACAGTGACTTAGATCCTGTCTCAAAATGAAAAATAAAAGTCTAAGGATGTATCTCTGTGCAAAGGTGCCCTGGGTTTTATCCACACTATGGCCAACACCCCCCCACCCCCATCTGTCAAATTTTCTATTTGAGCCTTTGAAGCTCTGGCTGATCCTGTAGTATTGTGGCTACTAGACACCAAATTGCCTGTTTAACCCCCTTTCAGACTTGCTTCTTTGTATATCTTTTGAGTGGGATTATGAAATAGAATGTAGTGGTGTGTCAAATCTTATCTCTGTATTTAAGTTTAAAATCAACATTTGCAAACATTGTTTTAGGACAGTTGATAAAAATTGGAAAACATATTACTGTATAGACGTGTTCATTGCCTTAAAATCAGTGTGTGGGGCTCAGGCCATGTAGTTCAATAAGTACTATTTGCCTAGCACTAGGAGAACTTGGGCTCATTCCCCAGCATCATGGGGAAGAAAAGGTTATAAACAGTTTAAATTTTGATAGTTATGATTTTTTTCCATTTCATAGAACAGCAAATGTCCAGAGGGAACAAAACCCATGTTAATTTTTGCCGGTGATGATTTTGATGTAACAGAAGACTACAGAAGACTAAAAAGTCTTCTTATTGGTAAGTATGTTAATATTTACTATCTGCAAGGCAGCTCAAGTAGCCAGCCTGATACTGTCGTTGGTGCCACTTTACCACTTCTCTCTGGGGGGTTTAAGTTTTTCTTTCTCTATTTTATTTTTTTCATTTTTCATTTTCATTAGTTTTACTAGCAACAGAATAAGTGCTTAACTATCATAATAGAATTAAAGGGATTGCTGTACTCTGTAGATGATTATTTTTGGTGCTGTAACATAACTAAAGTATCCTGTTAATACAGTGTTTTGTACTTTTTTAAATACGTATTCATTCATCTGTCTTTGATGACATCATTAAATTTAGAACATTGAAAGGTTAAAATTTTAATGTTTTTGTACATTATCCATTTTGAACTCAGAGGACCTTAGTTTGATAAGCCCTTCATCATATAACTGCCCTCTTGATTTTCTTCATTAAAAATGGCTTATATTATGCACGTCCCTATTGTCTGTTGTCTTCTGTGGTGATATCTTTTGAATGCCATATTAATTTTACAAAATACTGTGTTTCATAATGGCATTTTCATGCATACAACACTCCCCCATCCCCCTCGGTTACACCTCCCTCCCTCTTATTCTCTTATCTCTCTTGCGCTTGCATGTGTTTTTTAAGGTTCCTGTGGCGGGTGTGCACACACGTGCACATGCACAGCTGTATGGGGCTGAGGTTGAACCTCTGGCTGACTCATGCTAGACAAGTGCTCCTCACTGAGCTGTCTGGTGTCTTATTTGCCCAGTGAGTTTTAGATCAAGCTTCCTTTCCAGGAAACACTCAGTGACCTCCCGGCTCCTTTTATTTCACTATCATCATCCTGAGTGCCAAGCATCTGCTGGGTGCTTTCTATTTAGTGCTTCATTCTCATGAGAACCTGCCAGGTCATTTTATAGATGACTTACTCTCCTGGGGGGGAGGGGGGCAAAGGGAATTGAATGTAGTGTTTTACACATGCTAAGCAAGCATTCTGCCATTGAACTATATTGACAGTCCCCACCTATATTTTCTGTGAATTAAATGTGTACATGCTGGGCATGGTGGCGCATGTCTGTAATCCCAGCACTCGGGAGGCTGAGGCAGGAGGATCGCTGTGAGTCTGAGACCAGCCTGGGTTACATAGTGAGTTCCGGGTCAGTCTCAACTACATAGTGAGACCTTGTCTCAAAAAACCAAACCAAACCAAAACAAAACAAAAATAAATCTGCATGAATAGTAGTGACCAATGTTCTTTTACTATTACATACTTCAAAGTATCAAGAGAATATGTTTTAGTCAGATTTTCAGGCAAATTGTTTGACCTCAATTGGTTCACATTTTCTGCCTGGCCTTCTCTCCCCCATCTCCTGTACAATTATCGTCATTGAGGGAGGTACTTCAAATTTGTCAAAACAGAATTGCTTTTTGTTTGAATAGGTTAAGCCCTGGTGTCTTATTCTTTGTGTCCACTAGGTGGCACAAGTGACCACATAATGCAGCATGAGGGAAGGGAGTGACTCCCAGAGGGGAGGAATGAGATTATAGTAGGGCCAGAGGAAGTTGGGTTTTCAGTAAAAATGTGAAGCAAGACAACTCCTCATTTGTGTGTGTTCAGATGAAGTAGTAATAAGTGAAAATTTCATGAGCATACTCTGAAAAATATGTCACAAGTTGATTTCATCAACGTATAAGCATAGTGTTTATGCAGACAAACAGAGCTGGGACATCACTAGGTGACCACGTATTTATATATGTGGTCCTTGTTGACCAAAACATCCTCGTCTGGTGTGTGGCATGTAGTAGACTGACTACATCAGTGGAAAAAGAAATTAACCGAGGGCTTTCTAGGAAGCTTCTTTTCTGTTTCCTTCAATGCCATATTGTATAGATTTGCATAATAAATGTAATGGGAACTGTTTTTTGCTTTTCATTTTATTTTTCCTATTTTTTTTAAATAGTCTTGCTATTTATTTAGTTCAGCCTGGCCTTGAGCTCATTGAGTAGCCCAGGCTGGTCTCAAACTCATGGCAATCCTCCTGCCTCAGCGTCCCAAATGCTGGGAATACAGGTGTGTGCCACCACACCCAACCTTTTTTGATTTTTTTTTTTTTTTTTTGAAACAGGTTCTTACTGTCTATCTAGTTCAAGCTTATCAGTATGTAGCTCAAGGCTGGCCTTGAACTCTTTCTGTTATCCTCCTGTCTTTGCACTCTGGATGCTGGGATTATAGGGGTTCACTACTATGCCTGGTGGAGTTTCTTTTCTTTTCTTTTCTTTTCTTTTTTTTTTTCTTTTGAGACAGGGTCTCACTATGTACTTGAGACTGACTTAGAACTCACTATGTAGCCCATGCTGGTCTTGAACTCACAGTGATCCTCCTGCTTCAGCCTCCCAAGCGCTGGGATTACAGGTGTGCACCACCATGCCTGGCTGGAGCTCCTTTTCTTATTAGAAAACTAGTACATAACTATTTTTAGATTCTGCCCATCCTGATTTTCTTTCCTTTTATTTTATTTTTAATGCTGAGGGTCAAACCCAAGGCAGCACACATTCTAGGCACACTCTATCACTTAGTGGCACGAGGCACTACATCCTCAGCTACCCTATTTTGATGTGTTTTTTTTTTTTTTTGTAACTTTCTTGTATGTAAAGTTGATAATAAATGTCAAAATAGATTTTTGGTTTTTCAAATGCTGCTTCAGCACCTACTGTTTGGCCAGGTGTAGTGGCACATACCTGCAATCCTAGCATTCAGGAGGCTGAGGCAGGAGGCTTGCCACAAATTAGGCCAGCCTGTAGTAATGGTAAGTTTAAGGCCAGTCTGCATTACAAATCAAGACCCTGTCTCAAAACAAAATAAACACAAAAAAAAGAAAACCGAAAAAGTGAACCACTATTTATCTAATTAGATTTCTCTGTTGTCTTTATGTCAGTGATTGTGGCTGTATCAGTTGTCATCATTTTAATTTTTGTTTTTTACCTTTCTCATTTCCTCATCTGTTACTACATTTGAAAAGTATGCAGTAGTGAAAATAACCACTGTAGGTTGGGTCAGATCATTCATTAAATTTAATCTGCTCTATATTGCCTCACAGATAACTAGTTTTCTTGTGCTGACAAAATATATCATTAAGTTGGTGGCTTAAATTACGTACTTTGTCATAGCTTTAGAGGCTGAAAGTCCAAGATGTAGGTTCCTGTTCTTCCAATGTGAGCTCCCTTCCTGGCTTCAAATGGCTGTTGTTTTGTTTTGTTTTGTTTTGTTTTGTTTTCTTTACTTCTGTCTTCCCAGGGCCTGTCTTTGATTCATGAGAGAGAGGGAAGGAGCCAGTGAACAAGCTTCCTCATGTTTTTTCTTATGAGGACTCTCTAATCCTGTTATCCCTTATGAGTTCATTTAAACTTAATTACTTCCTTAGATGCCCCATTTCATACTACTTCCATGCACAGCTAGAGATGTATCTAGGTAGGAGCATTTGTCTAACATTCCCCAGGTGGTCCTGGGTTCCATCCCCAGCAGCCCCAAATGAATGAATGATATATAATATAAGTAAATGCAGCCACATTGGGGATTAAAGTTTCAATACAAAAAAATTTTTTTTTGGTACCAGGGATCGAACTCAGGACCTTGTGCTTACAAGGCAGGTGGTGGCACCACTGAGCTAAATCGTCCCTTGAGATCTTATGTTTGCTTGGAATTAATTCATTGAAAAATCCAAACTTGAAGTATGTAATTTCTGACTACAACCAGCTCATCTTCAACCTCTACCACCCCTCTGTATTTAACTGGGTTTTTCTCTTTATCCCTGTACTCAGTACCTGCTTTTTCACTTTAGCTATCATCCTGCTAGCTAGCTATCTGTCTGTCTGTTAAGGCACAGTCTTGCTCTGTAGTTTAGGCTGCATCTGAACTCACTGTGTATCCCAAGCTGGCCTCAAACTTATGAGGGTCCTTCCGCCTCAGTCAGGGTCCTGAGTGCTGTGATTAGGCATACACCATCATACCTGGCTTCATCCTGCCCTTTTAGCGCCAGGTATTTTAGTCACTGTTCTGGGTCTGGACATTTTTTTTCTTTCTTTTTTTTTTTTTTGCTACTGGGGATTGAATTCAGGACCTTGTGCTTGTGAGGTATGTGGCAGAATCACTGAGCTAAATCCTCAGCCCCCTGTCTGGACATGTTTTAGTTGATTCCTCCTTTGGTGTCTCAGACTCATCGTGTGCCTTGTGCCAGTCTTAGACTTGTCACATACCTGTCTACATAGTACAGCTTGTTTCTTTTTTTTTTTTCTGGTACTGGGGATTGAACTTAGGACCTTGTACTTGCCAGGCAGTTGCAGCGCCACTGAGCTACATCCCCGGCTTCAGACTACAGTTTTTTGTTTTTTGTTTTTTTGGTACTGGGGATCAAACAGGGTCCTCTAGACTACAGTTTTATACCATGATTTACATTCTTTTGTAAAGTTTACAAACATGGTAAGTATAATGATCCTATTCTGAGCTTAACAGTGTGAACTTTAAATGTTAAACACTGCATGTGTCAGTGAACTGAGCACAGAAATAAATTCATGAGATTAAATGCCTCAGCGGTCCTTGCCCATTTTTCAGGGATCATTTTTGCTACCCGTCTTACTTTTTACATAAGTATTGGTGCAAAATGGGACACTGAGAATGTACCTCTTCATAACAGAATTTTAAAAGTGTGTTGTTTTTGTTTTGTGTTTGTTTTAACAACTTACTTTTAGATTTACTTGCTTTTAGATTTCTTCAGAGGCCCCACAGTAGCAAATATCCGCCTGGCTGGGTTAGAGTATGTTCTGCACTTCACTGCTCTGAAGGGGAAGGTTTACTTTCGAAGCTATAAGTAAGTGCACTTCCTACCATGTTTTGCTTATCCTCGGGGTTAGTGTTTTTTGTTTGAATGTGTTATGGAACTCAGTCTTAGCATTGGTATCTCACTGGAAGTTTGTTGGGAGAGTTTGCAGAATGGTAGTAGCAGCAGCCTGGTGTGGTCCTTGATTTGTTATTTCCTTGCTGACTTTGCTTCTGAAACACTGCTTTTTTAGGGTCCCAGAGCATTTACTGCTATGCACTCTCTGAGGCAGGAACACTAACTTAGTGGGTCTCCCTAGCTTTATGAATTAACTGTGTTGTTCTTGACCAGGTCAGGCCAGCAAAACAAATCTCAGAACCCTAAAACTTAGTCCTTTTTAAAAATTTTTAAAAATTTTATTTTATTTTATTTTTTTTGAGACAAAGTCTAGCTATGTAGTTTAAACTGGTCTTAAGCTCACTGGGGAGCCAAGGTTGGCCTTGAACTCAAGGTGATCTCCCTGCCTCAGCTGCCCCAGTGCTGGTATTACAGGTGTGTACACCCCAGCTCTAAACTGGAGTCTTTAAGGAAATAAAGAGGATTAGTGGCTAGATTCATTTTATCCTCTTTCTCCAGTCTCACCAATCCTACCACAATATAGAAATAAATCCTAACAAGCAGATTCTGTTTCTATTAGAGCTTGACATACAATCGTTGTGCCTTTTGAAATAAGAATGCCTTTTCTGTACCATGGTGGTTAGATCTACATTGTCCTAAGACTGTGGGGGCGTGGACGAGCCCTCCTCCCATGCCCAGTCTGCCTGTCTTGGTGCAGTGGGTTGGGGGCTGATGAGCATCATGAACTGTGACATTGCAGCCTATGAGCAGTGGCTCATTGCTGACAGTGTCTTCTGCGACCCTTCTGTCCAGCATGGTATCCATGGGTTGGGTTTTGTTTTTTGGCAATGGGGATGAACCTGGACCTTCTACTGAACCACATATGGACTTTTTATGTTGAGATAGGTCTTGTTAAGTTACCCAGGCTGGGATTGAACTTGTAATACTTATGCCTCAGGCTCACTGCATGTGACTACAGGCATGTGGGAGGAGGGCTCTTCCTGTTGGATTGTTCCCTTAACAAGTATGTAGTGACCTTGTCTTTTCTGATTGCCTTCTTTGTCTCTCCTGATAAGTCTTGCCTTGAAATTCACCTCTGCTTTTTCCCAGGTTCTGGTTTCATGGCATATTGGTTTCCATCCTTATAACTTTTTTTTTTTCTATCCTTTAACTTTCTGTCTGTGAACTTCTTTTTGAGTTAAATGTGTTTCTTTTTTGGGGGTACTGGGTATTAAACTCGGGACCTTGCGCTTGCGAGGCAGGTTGGTGGAACCACTGGGCTAAATACCCAGCCCGAAATGTGTTTCTGTTTTTGTTTTACATTTGTTTTTTGAGACAGGGTCTCACTTTGTAGTTGAGACTGACGTAGAACTCACTGTGTAGCCCAGGCTTGTCTTGAACTCAAAGTGATCCTCCTGCCTCAGCCTCCTGAGTGCTGGGATTAGAGGTGTGCACTACTTCGCCCAGCCAGTACTCATTCGTCTTTGTTACATCTACTTCTACCTTTTTAGAAAGTTCAGCTGGGTAGCTTTTGAATTCTTCCACCTCAATGTCTCTTGGATTTGGCTTAGGTGAGCTGGAAGTCTGAGGTTCCATCTTGCTTCCATGTTTTCCATTTTATATTTTTTCAAATTTGTTTTCTGCACTGATGCTTGTAAATTACTTATGCTAGGTAGCTTTGTTACTAGTATCAAGACCTCTTTAGGAAATGACTACTTTTCACAGATGTCTTCTAAGTTTAACCAACTTTTGGCTTTTGAGTCTGTCCCAAGTTGCAGCCTCTTCAATTTATTAGGGACAAGAGGGGTTGGGGCCTGAGACTCAGTCTACAAACAACAGTGAGTGTCTCTTGCCAGCTTGGCCTCAGTTCTCTGACCCGGGATGTCTTCTGTGGTTGGCCGTCACCCAGTCACTGTGGAGTTTCAATCCTAGGAGTCCTGAGATGAAGCCAACCGAAGGTTATTCTGAGTCCCAGGTTCAGTTGGCCCCTCCCTAAAATGGCTTCTGGCCACATAATCGATCCAAGGGATAATATGCCAATGGCTTGGACTGGAGTCACTCACCAGCTGTAGTAGCCCACAGCATCCACGCTGTGTTCCACTGGTGCATTTCTCCCTCAAGTTCTCTGGAGTCACCCACCCTCACTGTTTCACTGGAGATTCAGTTCTCTTTTCTCATGCTGTGAGTCTGGAGCCATGGAGAAACTGCATTTTTTTGCTCCCTTCTTTTTCTGAATTGAGTCCTGTCTCCAATTTTTCTGTGAGCTCCAGTTTTCCCTTCTCATCCTTCTTGGGTCCTGGGGATCCACCCTTTTCTGAATAGTTTTATGTCACTGTAAATGCCTTGGACAAATAATATTTTAGGGGAGGACTTCTGGTCTTGTTTTCCTGGGGAGGACTTTCATAAAAGTCAAAAGTACTTGAGGGCCAGGGATTTAGCTCAGTGGTTCCACTGCCTGCCTTGCAAGGTCCCGAGTTTGATCCCCTATACCAAAAAAAAAAAAAAGTCAAAGTACTATGTCTTTCTTTTCTCCTTCTATTTCATAAAGGTTGCTATTGAAGAAATCCGGTTGCAGAACACCACGGATTGAGTTAGAAGAGATGGGACCTTCATTGGATCTTGTTCTGAGGAGGACACACCTGGCCTCAGATGACCTTTATAAGTTATCTATGAAAATGCCAAAAGCTCTCAAGGTATGTGCCCTGTGGCTTAACTCCATATTTAAAGGACATACATAGATATCAATAAAATAGATGAAACTAGACTCTCAGGATCTGAAAAGGAAAAAGAACCAAATAAATCAACTATAAAGGCTAATAAGCAGGCATCCAGTTTGGTAAGATCTTCCTGGTTTCCAAAGTTGCTATTTTCAGCAAAAAGAATTTTTGGGGGCATTGTGAAGCCTGGAGATTTGGAGTACAAGGTGTGTAAACCAAATGTGCATCAATCACATTTTGATTTTTTGTTTGGCTTTTTGAGACACCTCACTGTGTAAACCAAGCTGGCCTTGAACTCCCTGTCTTCCTGCCTCAGCCTCCTGAGTGCTGGGGTTGATACAGGGGAAAAAATGTAACTCACAATCTTCTAGATGTCAGAAGGGCCCAGTTCATGGAATAGGAATAGCTCCTGAGAGACAGGAAGGGTCCCAAATGGGTTGCCAGTGAGAAAGTTAGCGAAATCACAAGGTGGCTACAACATGGGTCAAAACTACAATCAACCAATAAAAGTACAAGTATAGCTGTGTGGCTAATACTGACCCAGTAATAAATAGCTAGGGCATATTGATGACATCATTAACCTTGGTTAATAATCTATAGTGTTGGTTTTATTTTTAGTCTTAGTGGTTTTAGTCTTAGTAGGTGGAAGAGGATGGCCCGCCCCTAATGAGATAATGGTTTATTTATATGGAAAATCTTAAAAGGGTGGTACCAATAATCTTAAACTTCCATTTATCCCTTAGGGAAATATGTAAATCTGACCATTGTGTCCAGTATGGTGGCACACAGCTGTAAATGCAGCACTCCAGAAGGATTGCTGAGAGTTGAAGGCCAGCCTGGGCTGCTTAGTAAGTTCAAGGCCAGGCTGTCTCAAAAAAAAAAAACAAACAACAACAACAAAAAAAATCTGGCCATTGTGATTTTAATCTTTCAAATGTGCCTCTATCCACAGTTGTGGTGTATTCTCATTTTACTCCGTGGAGGGCCCACCCCTATCTAATTGCCTGTAATATTTCTACATAATTTAGGAGTCTGTTATGGGATTATAAGTGTGCACCACCACATCGGGCTATATTTTTATGTTGTTTTGTGTGTAGTACTGAGGATTGAACCTAGGGCCTTCACACTTAATTTTGAGACAGGGTCTGGCTGAGTTGCTAGGCTGGACTTGGACTTGTTAGTTCTATTGCCTTAGCATCCCTCAGTGCTGGGATTATAGGTGTTAGCCATCTCTCCTGGCATATTTTGACTTGAATGGCTTTAAAATTTAAACAAGTAAAATGTTAACTCCGGAATGCTACTAGAGATTGAAATGATAGTCACAATTTTTAAGATTACAAGGGGAAAAATGAGAACCAAGACCTGTCATGTAGAGGTACAAGATCCCAACAATGAATGTAACTGTACTGTATCCCTAAAATGTACCAATAAATTCAATTATTTAATTAAAAAAAAAAACGAGAAAATTCTCTTGACATGACTTTGGCTAGTATAGACGATATCTTGCTTCTCATAATTTATCTGGGAATTGTTAGAAACAATATTAAGCCTACACTGAATTAGAATCCTCACTTAACAGGATCCCCAGGAGATTTGTATGCTTTCTTAGGTTGGAGGAGGAGGTAGATGTATGGGGTGCACACTTTGTCATTGGGGAGAGTCCTCACTAATGGTGAGAGTTGTACATTAGACTTTCTACTCGTTTACAATACTACATACACATTTAAAATTATGTGTCTATAAAAACATAAACACTCCACCCTTGTTTTATAGCCAAAGAAGAAGAAAAATATGTCCCATGATACTTTTGGTACAACTTATGGAAGGATTCATATGCAGAAACAAGACTTAAGCAAACTACAAACTAGGAAAATGAAGGGATTGAAGAAGCGACCTGCAGAAAAGATAACAGAAGACCAGGAGAAAAAGCCAAAGAGAATTAAAAAAAATTAATGGAGCTTTGCCAACAACTAGAGTTTTATTGTAATCTATTTACTATGGGAATCAGAAAGCTTCAATACAGTTCAATTTCTTTTTTTGTTTTTGTTTTTCCTGGTACCAGGGATTGAACTCAGTACCTTGTGCTTACCAGCAGACGCAGTGCCACTGAACATCTCTGCCCTAATACAATTCAGTTTCTTAAAAGATTTAATTGTATATTTTATAGCACAATAACTTACTATTATTGTGAGCAATAATGTATCAGTTTTTAAAGAAGTTTATTACTTGCTCTGTCAGATCCTGATGTGCCATTTTCTCACTGATGTAATATCCTTGACCCCCAAGATTCCTTTCTTGCTCGGTGAGGGAGGGAGGAGAACCTTCACAACCATTGGTGTTTTCATAAAGTTTTGGGACTGTTAATGATTGGATAAAGGGAGAAAGCCAGGTCGAGCAGAAGTGACTCAGGAGCCACATGTGTGCTCTGTGTGAGCCCCCTGGGAAGTTACCCATCACCTCCCAGCATGTATCTACATCCAGCTTTTATTTTTTACTTCTTGATTATTTTGCCTGAAGTCCTACCAGTTAAGAGAATTGACATTTTAAAGAAATTCTGGATGGAGCTCAGTATAGAGTACTTGGCTAGTACGTGCAAGGTCCTAGGTTCCAGCCCCCCAAAAAAGAGATTCTGCTGTAAGTCCAGCCTCACTGCACTTCTCTTAGAGAAAGGAATCTTTGATGTGGTAGAAATGAAAAAGCAGGTAAGTTTTAAGGCACAGGGCACTTTAAGGAACTAGCTGGCCCTCAGCAGCCAAAGATTGCATGAAGGACCTCAGTGTAGGAGTAAGCCAGAGCCTAGCCCTGTTTTGGAAGTTTCTTAAAGACCATCCCTCTGCCTGGGGGAAATGGGAAGACACATTCTATTCTCTTCTGCTAGTGTTACACACTTGTTTTTCCAGGTAGTGAATTTAGATTCCTTGACTCTGTTGTGGGAAAGAACCTTCTTCATTCAGTGCAAGCCAGTTATGTTGTAAAAAAGCATCTGTTCACAGTTCCATGTCCAACCTTCATGCCTGTGCATGCAGGCACTTGGAGCTCACTCAGCTGCTGGTCATCAGATAGTACATAATTATCTCTGATGATAGTCTGTTGAGGTGTGGAGCAAAAGCTGGTGTCTCATTTTATCTTCTCTGTCCTCTCCTCACGAACACATTCTCTTGCCAGACTTCTCCCTGTTCCTTTCCAGGTGGGTACTATTCTTCCCAGGAAAATAAAGGCACTGATCAACCACCCTCATACATACTTTTAAAATGATTATATTGTCATCTAACCAGCCTTCTGTTTGAAGCAGTTTTCATTTTATGTGTGGGAAAGGAATTAAAATATTTCATTTTCTGCTATCTGCGAGAAGATGGATGAAATAGCTGGGAAGAAGGGAAGCTGTGAAAAGGGCATCAGGAACTACGGATGTATGGTCCTGAGACAATAGAGAGAAGCAGTCTGGGTCACACCAGAAAAAGGCAGTCTCCAAAAGTGTGCACACAGTTCAGCCTGAGGAAGGTCCTTAATCTCTCGATCTCAAAGCCAAAAGATAAGCTCGGTCGCCCTGATGCCACAGCTCCCCTTCTAGGGTGGCTGGGAGCACATCCTAAGCCATGCAGACTCCAGTGCTCATCCTGGGGAGGACTGGCATTATCCATGAAACTTGTTAAGCTATACACTCAGACTAAGAAGGAGCCCAGTGGGTTGCTTATGTTTTTTCTTCCTCTTTACCCTAAGAGATCACCTCCCTTCTTTCCCAGACAGGCTTTCATCTGTCAGAAAATTCAAGTCCTTTTGATACAGGACAAATATATCTTATTTTGCTAGGTATCAGATATGTCAAATTTGTGTCACCCAAAATTTAGAAATGAATTTTAAGGAGCAACAGACCTTGAGTAAGAAATATTTATAGAGAGAGAGCTCTTGAAAGACAGGAGTTTTGAAAATGGTTTGTCCCCAGTCTTTATTTTGAGATGGTCTCACTATATAGTTAAGATTTGCCCTTGAACTCGTAGCCCAGGCTGGCCTCAAACTTGTGGCAGTCCTCCTACCTGTGCCTCCTGGGTGCTGGGATTACAGGTGTGCACCACCCCACCTGGCTCCAAAATAATTTGTGTGTGTGTGTGTGTGTGTGTGTGTGTATTTTTGTTTTTATACTGGGCATCAAACTCAGGACTTTGTGCTTGTGAGGTAGGCAGTAGAACCACTGAATTAAATCCCTGGCCCTCCAGGATAATTCTTTAAAGAATTTTATGGAGCCATATTACAAAGTGAGAGGGCCGAGAATTTAGCTCAGTGGTGTTGCTGCCTACTTTGAAAGTGCAGGGTCCAGAGTTTGATCTCTGGTACCAAAAAAACCCCAAACAAACAAAAAAGTGTTGCAAATTACAAGGTGAATACAGTGTGGGTTAAACTGTAATTAACCAATAAGATTATGAATATAGTCAACTAATACTGATCTAATAGGGAAGCAGGGTACGTAGCAAGCGTACATGGAAAAGCATTTTGGGGAAGGGATGGGTCTAGATGCTCTGGTCACCCATTGGGGTGACTGTTTATTTGGACTTTATTGTACCAGGTGAATCCAGTTACAGTGTAATTTTATGTTATTTTCTCCTGGGGAGGTATGTAGGTCTGGCCACTTTTTATTTTGAGGCCTGGCCTTTGACAGATATGCCTCTAGCTACAGTTTGATGTCTTTATTTTTTTGTTTTTGTTAACTTCTTTGAGAATTCAGTCTGGTTTTGACTGTGTATTATTATTATTTTTTTAAGACAGGGTCTTGCTAGGTAGTTCAGGTTGGGCTTAAACTTGCTGTGTAGCCCAGGCTGGCTTTGAACTCCTGGCAATCCTGCCTCAGCCTCCCGAATGCTGGGATTACAAGCATATATCACCACACCTGGCAACTGCATATTAATTTTTATCTAATTTAGCTGCCTATAATTTTTTTCCCTCTGAAGAGCTATCTTTATAGTCAGGGGAGAATGGGTATAGTTTTAATCTTTTGAGCTGAGGAGGGTCATTTTAGAGACCTCAGTCTGGGTCTTCTCCAGAGATCTAATGGGCCTCAGATGGACAGTCATGTTGGGGATTAGCAGTTACAAACTCCCTTTGTAATGTCAACCCAGTGGATCCCAGTAAAAGGAGTCCAGCACATTTGTCATTGGTTTTATCTGCATGATCACTTGTAGTTTGGCAGCCATTAGGAAAGAATTAGCAAAAAAAAATTTTAAAGAGATTAAAACACAAAGCATGAGCATTAGAATAGAAAGGCAGATGGGGGAAAGGAGCCATGTCCAGAGCCCTTTTAAGAGACTGAAATAGCAATTGGACCAGCTGGCTCTTAGACCCATTCCCCCCCAACCTTTTTTTTTTTTTTTTTTTTTTTTTTGGTACCAGGCATTGGACCTTGCTCTTGTGAGGCAGGCGGTGGAACCACTGAGCTAAAACCCTGGCCCTTAGATCACTTTATTGATGGAGGTTATCTATAAGTTTGACATTTTTTGTCACAAGACTCTCTAGTTTTGGCTTTGAGAATATGGAGAGTTTAGTGGTTTTGCTAACTTTTTTTTGTTTTTCGTACCAGGGCTCAAACTCTGGTCCTTGTGCTTATGAGGCGGGCGGTGGAACCACTGAGCTAAATCTCTGGCCCAAGAATTTAGTGGTTTTGAAGGACAATTTTAGGTAAGGAATTTAAAAGATTCTTGTGGAGCTTTTATATCTTCCACTGTAGCCTTTAGCCTTATTGAACAGTGTAGCTGGAAACTTAGCAGGGGTCAATGATTGGTGCCCCTTTTTATATGTAGCTTTTATTATTATGGTATTATTTTTATCTTTTTTTTATTTTATTTTTTATCTGTTTTGTAAAGGGTTCTATTTCTTTCCTATGCTGGGTGTTCGTGGTTTCCATCATTTTCCTGAGCTCCTCTATTTTTATCTGTATCTGCTCTAGAGTCACTAAGCATGCCTTCCTTTCATTCTGGTCCCTGTCTCTGTAGTTATCTGAGAAATTATTTCTGCTTTGAATTTTTCTAGAGCCTCGTTCACCTGCTTTGTTACTTCTGCTGTTACCATTTCAGTGGAGTCCAGGTGGGTGGCTTTTGGATTGTTCCACTTCATTGCCCCCAGGATTTGCCTTTGGTAAGCTGAAAGTGGAGGGTGGGGGTTGCATCTTGTTTAAGTGTCTTCCCATTTTCTATTTTTTTAGTTTAATTCTTGGGTAGATGCTTGTAAATTGATTATGGTAAGTAGCTCTATTGATAGTATTCAGAACCCTTAGGAAATGACTACTTCTCAGAAGCATCTTCCAGATGCTTTTGGGTTTTCAGTCTATTGCAAGATCCTACCTCTTCAGTTTGTTGGGGATGAGAAATTTTTGCCTACTTGGCCCAGCACCCGGTTTTTGGCATTGACCTAAGTAAAAGGCCCTTAGGTAATCTCAGTCTTGGTATACCAGGAAGAACTACTGATTAATACAATTACATCACCTTGACTAAAGTAGTACCATCAGCAATAAGAGCACCAAAAACAGCTTAGAAAATGAACTGTGGTAAACTATTAATTTGCCACCCCACCATCTGAACTAGATTTGTTATATAACAAAATCCAGAATGAATCAGAAAATTGTATGTCATATATAAGCCCTCAATATGGTGATTTTACCCCAAGGGAGAAGATTTAGGGGGTAAAAAAATAAATTGAAGAAGAGTGTAGAAGCAAGGCTGGAGGACAAAGGAAAATCATATAAACTTTGGGAAACTGATGAAGACAGGAGGAAAGAAGAAAGAAAATTAAGAACAGCAGAACAATAATTAAAAAAAAACCCTAGAAACTCACAGTAATATAAAAACAAGAACAATCAAGAAAAAATAAAACAACAAGAACACAAACCAGAAAAGAGGAAAAGAAAAGATTATTACTCAGCCATAAAGAATGAGAAAATAGATTCATTCATAGGAAAATGGATACATATTGAAGATATACTCCT